CTCTTGGTGCCTGCTTCAATCCGTAAAGAGCTTTTCTCAGCTTGCACACATGAGTGGGATTAACTGCATCCTCAAATCCCTTTGGTTGGTTCATGTAGATCTCCCGATCTAATTCTCCATGCAGGAAAGCATTCTTCACATCCATCTGCCATAATTTCCAGTCTTTACTAGCTGCAAGAGCTAGCAGCACCCGTACAGTAGTTATCTTCGCCACTGGACTAAATGTTTCATCATAGTCCAGTCCATATTGTTGTGATAACCCTCGAGCCACCAAACGAGCCTTGTATCTTTCAATTGATCCATCTGTGCGTCGCTTTAATTTATAAACCCACTTGCAGGAAATGGGTTTTATATCTCTTGGTCTTGGTACCAGTTCCCACGTTTGATTCTGCTTTAAGGCTGTAACTTCTTCTTCCATTGCCTTCTGCCAAGCTTTATTCTTAATTGCTTCTTCATATGTCTCCGGCTCTTTAACACCGTCTTCTAAAATAGCCGCATTAGCATACTTGGGATTAGGCTTTCGGATTCTTTCCGTCCTTCGAAGTTGTGGAGGCGGCGTCTCCCTTTCACCGGCATTACTTGTTTGAGTTACTTCTTGCTCAATGACATCAGTGTCGCTCGGATCTTCAGGTGTATCAACACTTGACCAAATGTGTGCAGTTTGCTCCCCCATCTTTTGTTTTAAAACTTCTTCAATATTTTCCGAGTCTGGTAATACTTTCTTCTCTAAGGACCACCATGAAGATGCTTCATCGAACACTACATCTCTTGAAGTGTAGCATCTTCCGCTTGTTGGATCACAACACCTCCATCCTTTTCTTTGATTGTCATATCCAACAAATATACACCTGACTGCTTTCTTGTCAAACTTGCTACGTAAATGACTAGGTACAAATACGTAGCAGACACAACCAAATACTCGAAAGTAGCTAACAGTAGGTTTCATGTTCCATAGTGTCTCAAATGGTGAGATGAAACCTAACCTTGGTTGGGGAAGTTTATTGATCACATGGGCAGCAGTTCGCATTGCTTCAGCCCAAAATCTTCCTGGGACATTCTTCGCGTGTAGCATGCTTCGACAAATTTCTGCAAGATGTCGATTCTTTCTCTCAGCTACACCATTTTGTTGAGGTGTGTTGGCACATGTGAATTGATGACGTATACCACATTCTTTTAGATAGCTATTGAATTCTTCCGAGGTGTATTCTCCTCCATTGTCTGAGCGTAGACACCGAATCTTCTTTCTCACTTCTCCTTCGACCGTTGTCTTGAATTCTAGAAACTTTGAGAATGTTTCAGATTTTTCTTTCATGAAGAAAACCCACACATATCTCGAATAATCATCAATGAATGTCACCATGTACCGCATCCCGCTAATTGATGTCTGCTTGACTGGACCGAACACATCCGAGTGAATTAACTCTAGTGGCTTCTTTGCTCTAAAATTTGACTCCTTGTATGGTAATTGATGAGCTTTACCATACTGACATCCAGCACAAACAACATCTGTTTTAACTTCAAGTTGAGGTAAGCCACTGAGCATGGATTTCTCCATTATTACCTTCAACTTGTGATAACCAACATGTCCCAGCCGTGCATGCCATAGATCTGTTGTCTCGTTCTTATGAGTCTTATCTACATAGGCAGACTCTGCGGAGAGAACATAGACGGACTCCACTCTCCGTCCTTCCATTGTTGGCTTTTCTGATATTTTAAGATCTCGATAGACCTTCACATCTTGTGGGCCAAACAAGACGTAGTTTCCTGATGATGTTAGTTGCGATACCGATAACAAGTTCTTCTTCATACCTGGCACGTGATAGACATTATGTAGTGACACCATGTCAGATTTATTACCAGGCATGATCGTTGTTTTGCCAATCTGAGCAATTGGAAGTCGTGCATTGTTGGCTGTAAGTACCATGCGACTCCCTTTGTACTCCTTCACGTCTTGTAGTTTGTTCTGATCACCAGTCATGTGATTGGAGCATCCTGAATCAATGATCCAGTCATTCTCATAGTTGATACGCTCTCCCATCATTGCCATGAGCGCCAACTCGTTTTCTTCTATGGCGCATAATGCCTCAGCATCCCATTCATCCTCTATTTCCTTTTTGGAAGTTACGACATTGCTTTCCACAGACTTTTTCTTTGACCAACAATCTTTGGACATGTGGCCCCACTTTCCACAATTGTTGCAGTTGCCTTCAAACCTCCTCCCCCGAGAACTCTTATTGTCGGTCTTTTGAGATCTCCATGGTTGTGAGGTTCCTGGCTGACTCTTCCCTTTGTCAGCATTTTTGTATCCTTCTTTAGAAGGTGGCTTGAAATTCCTCCGACTTTTACTTGTGTAGAGTGCTTCTTCTTCACTCTTCAGCGTGATGCCTCCCATTTGCTTAGCCATAGCTTCTTGGCTGGCCAACAAATTCTCAAACTCTACAAGTGATGGTTGAACGGGCCATCCTTGTACAGCTGTAACGAAGCTTCTATATTCCGGCCTCAGTCCATGGATGATGATCCTCTTCATTCGAGCTTCTGTAATGACGGATTGCGGATCTAGTTCAGTAATCTCCCGACATATCGACTTGACCTTGTGGAAATATTGAGCAATCGTCATGTCACGTTGTGAGATTGATAATAGCTCGTTCTCCAAAAGTTGTAGTCTTGTATCATTCTTTTTTGAGAAAAGCGTCACAAACGTGTCCCAAGCTTCTTTCGGTGTGTTCTCGTCCCGAATATGCTCCAACATCTCTTCTTCGATTGTGGTCTTCAAGGTAAACATTGCTTTGCCTGCTTTGATTTTCCATTTGCGTAGAGCGCCATTAACATTTTCCTCCGGAGGCGTGGTTTCGCTTCCGCCAACGACCTCCCATAGATCTTGTCCTTGTAAGTAGGACTTCATACATGTTTCCCATGTTTTGTAGTTGTTGTTGTTGAGTTTCTTGATTCCTCCGACGACTTGGAGATCACCCATCGTGTTGGCAGTACCTCGGTAATACCAAACAAGCTAGTTTCGACACTAAACTTGCAGAGTCACAAACTACTCACGATACAACGAGAATCACTCGTTCTCACTATCAAGAAACCTTGCTCTGATACCAGATTGTTGAACACGACTCTTTGTATGGGAAACAAAAAGACTTTTATTAAGACACTTAAGAAGACCTTACACTTTGTGAGACTACTACACACTTTGCTCTCTTTGAGGCTTTCTTGGATGGTTTGGAGCAAATGAGCTCCACACCTATTTATAGGCCTCTTAGGAAGGTTCTAGATACTAGTATACACTTACTACCTACTAGATAACTCTAGAACTATCTAACATACTCTATATGCTTCCATATGTTTCTAGAATATTCTACCATGTTCTGGAGAGGTCTAGGTTGCTCCAGTGTCTTCTAGAATGATCCATAACCTTCCAGGGTCTTCCATGTCGTTCTAAAGTATTCTAGACTTGATGAACTTCTTCATATCGGCATTGAGTAAAAATTAAAGTTTATGTATCATAAAACTCCATCCGTACGACTTCAAATCAAGGGTGAGGTATTTCTGGTAACCTGGGAGGGTAAGCTGACAGCCAAACCAAGTGAACTTCTTCATGTCGTTCTAGAGTATCTATAAAAATTACCGAAAAAGGTAAAAAAAAAAATAGAAAAAAGTTCAGGGGATAGGAGGTAAGAGATATAAATACCTATGACTTGATGAACTTCTTCATATCGGTATTGAGTAAAAATTAAAGTTTATGTATCATAAAACTCCATCCGTACGACTTCAAATCAAGGGTGAGGTATTTCTGGTAACCTGGGAGGGTAAGCTGACAGCCAAACCAAGTGAATTAGAGTATAGTATACAATTGAACTTCAGTCTCTATCTCATTTTTCAAAACAAAACGAGATGAAAAGAACCTAAAAGCCATAAATTAAAGGTGAATGGAAATTATACATATAGAAAAATATAATCCAAGAGGACCAATTAAAGCCTAAATAATCTAACATAGATTTCTAAAATAGAAAAAATAAATAAAGCAGAAGATGGAGGAGGGATGAAAGATAAAGAGAAAAGGAGGTGTCGTGAGGATGGAAGGCGGTATAAGGAAAAATCAAGGGCGAACACACGGAGAGGTGACTCAGTCGTAATCAACCAGGACGTGGCATTAAAAGGAGAAGCAGGGGAGGCACCAAGCCAAGCAACAAGCAACAAGAAACTGAGGTTAATGCCTCTAAGGAAGCAAAAGCCAAAAGAAGGAGCGAGTTGAAAAAGCCCGGAAGAGAAAAGTGGCGGAACTGAAGAGGAGAAACAAAAACCCCAAAAATTGTTTTTAACCCAAAAACTCACCGGTTGGTAAAGGAAAATCAAGAACATAAAGATAAATAAGGATGCAATGAAACAACCTGTTTCATGTTCTTGTTGGGAGTCGCTGATATCTTAGGTCAGAGGAGCAAGGATTAAGAAAAAAGAAAAAGTGGCGAAGCGTGTAGAAGGAAATAGAAGAAGCATGCCAAGAAAAGATAACAAGGAAACGGAGAAAGAAAGCAGATGAAAGGATGGAGGAGGTGGAGCTTGGTGGCGGTTGATTCAATACGGTACAGACGTCTGGTATAATAGATGTCCTCATTCAATGGGAAGCCAGGAGGTGGTGAGAGGCTTCGATTCAATATATATATATATATATATATATATATATATATATATATATATATATATATATATATATATACTAGGCGTGCGTTGCGCAGTTATAATTAAAATATTGATGAATATATGTTATTAAAATAAATATAATTTTGTTATTAACTTTAAATTAGTAATTCTTATACTAATTTACAACTACATAAACAACTACATAATGAACAGAACTTCTTTCCTATTGAACCACCACTAATTTTGTTTTTTCTTTATTTCTGTCCACTATCCCATAAAAATGAGAGTAGTCTATTTTCTACCACTTCATAGAAGAAACCACGTGTATTAACTCTAAAATCGATTGGTGTCATACGTACATGTCCTCTAACCACCGCTTTAATTCTTATGACCTTCCACATTCTTCCTACCGCGTTCCATCTCTTTCTTTCTTCCACAGAAAAGCCCTAGCTCGATCCGTTCCTCTCCAATCACTCGGACAAAACACTGGAGAAAAGATCTGCGAGAATCACCACCACTATCGTACTTTTCCTCCGTCGGTTCTCTTTCTTCCTTCCGTTATTGCTATTCGGCTTCCTACTTCCGGTTCCATCCGGACGAACGTGGGTTCAACTAAGAATCAGGTAGTCGGAGTACCGGAGGTGTTGGGTTTGTTAAGAATTACTTTTCCGGTGAACCTTTAAACAGGTAACACCACCACCGCCTACAGCGACCCTTCAAGACGAGTGGTAAGGAATCCGGAGGATGAAACAAAGCATCATCCTCTTCAGAAATCAGAAGAGTAAGTAAAAAATTACATTTTACATCTTTTTCTGTATGTTCTTCAATAGATTTGTCAGGTGTTTAGCATCCTATATCTTTCCTTCAGCTGCTGTTGTTTTCAGATGTTAGTGACTTAAAAAGGTGCTCAGCAGGATTGGAATTTTTTTGTTCAAACTTGGTAGATTTGACGATGCACATCAAGTGCTTGATGAAATGCTTCAAAGAACCGGTAATATTAGTTCTACTCTATCATCCATTGCAGTAGCTTCCTTCAATAGCACTTATTTATGAGAAAACTTACTATAAGAAAACTTACTCTGTTTCGATCGAATTGTTGATACTATTGATTTGCTGAGGAAGAGACACTGGCCATGGTGATTTGATTCATGGCCATTTGCCGTACTTTATGCTACATGGATGATTGCTATCGTACCCAGTTTAGATTTCCTTGATGCCTTCGTAATTTTGGAGGTTTGGTTGTTCTCCACATATTGGTGATCACATTTCTTATTATCTTATGAAAATCTTTTTATAGATTTGAATATCCACAACCAACATTCCAGGAATAAATGAAAGAACACTGCATGGAGCCCTTCTTTTTTGTTAATAAAGCTATTCTCTTTAAACTGCAGGTTTTTTTGTGTGGGATCTTTGTGTCTACATGAGTATTGGTATTATAGTGTTTTCACCCTCTTTATGCTGTTTATGTTCGAGTCAACAATGGCCAAAAGTCGGTTGAAGACTTTATCAGAACTTAGACGTATGAGAGTAGATTCTCAGGTGCTAATGGTCTATCATTGTGGGAAGTAAGTTATTATCTATTTATCTTTACAAATTACAACTTACAAGTTTTAGTTTTACTTACACTTTCTATGTTACCATGGTTGACTTATTTTGACTTTTGTCATGACAGGTGGACAAAGGTAACAGGGACAGAGCTTTTGCCTGGTGATGTTGTGTCCATTGGCTGTGCTGCTGGTCAAGATGGAGAAGAAAACTCATTCCCTGCTGCCATGCTGATCCTAGCTGGCACTACTATTGTAAATGAAGCAATCCTAACTGGCGACTCTTCCCCTCAATGGAAGGTGCTTCTCTTTTTTGAAATTCACTTCCTTATTTCAAGAAAATGATTTATACTTTATACTTTATAATATTTTTCTACTTTATGTATACAAATTACATGTTTTTTCAGGTTTCAATAATGGGAAGAGGACTAGAAGAGTGTTTGTCATCTAAACGAGATAAAAACCATGTTCTTTTTGGTGGCACAAAGATATTGCAGCATACACCCGATAAGGTTGGCTGCTTAGCAATTGTTTTAAGAACTCGATTCGAGACAACTCAAGGGAAACTCATGCGCACTGTTTTGTTTTCAACCAAGAGGGTAATTCCGTAATTTTGGTACATTTTATCACCGTTTGGTTGATAATTATATAACTGTATATATATATATATATATATATATATATATATATATATATATATATATATATGTATATATCTTTTAATGTAGGTTACTTGTAACAGCTGGGAGAGTCGGTTCTTCATTTTGTTTTTAGTTGTTTTTGCAATTATAGCAGCTGGATATGTACTAAAAAAGGTATAAAGCTCTCAACTTGGTGTTGAAATTTGACATCTATTAGTGTTTTAAAGGTGTGAAGTTTATAACTGTAATTTTTTAATGATGTAGGGGTTTGAGGACCCAAACAGGAGTAGATACAAGCTTCTTCTGAGCTGTTCTTTAATTATATTATAACATCTGTGATTCCTCCTGAATAGCCAATGGAGTTGTCAATAGCTGTTAATAGCTCATTGATTGCACGAGCAAGACGTGGTAGATTTTGTACAGAGCCTTTTCGTATACCATTTGCTGGGAAGGTGAGCACTAACATTTATTTTTGTGGTAAAAATTAAAATTGTATTTTTAGTCCCTGTGGTTTCTTCATTTTTATGGGTATGGTCCAGTTGTTTGATATTTAACTTCTGGTTCCCCAAAGCATAGTTTCTTCACACTTGAAGTCCTTGACTTGACTTTAGAAATCCGCTTCTCCACTATTGATTTGCCAATCGTCGGTCTAGCCTGAGGCATGGTTGTCGGCCTAGCTAAAGGCTCAAGGAGCTGTTGATTAGAATTGATATTCAGTTTCAGTCAATTTACTATACATAATTACCTTTTTATTTTTGTATTTCTTCTGTTGTGCATGTCACTTCTGATGATGACTTCCCAGTGGGCATTATATGGATTCTCATGTATCAGGAAATAGATTCAACAAAGTCCAAATTCTGTCCAGGTTTGATTATTCACAGTACACCATAAAGAAAACATATAAATTTTGAGATGTTGGAAAATACATGCCTACCAATTAATAATGAATGATATATAAAGTAACCAATGAATATTTGACTTTCTCCATATATAAATCCGATGTAGGGACTTAAATCTTAATTCATAGAGTAAGAAGTGACTTAAGGCCTTTGAAAGATAAAGGTACTTGGATGTAGTTATATTATGATACTTAACTATTTCAAAATACAGAATACCTTGGTTTGGGATCGTATCAAACAATTTGGAAGGTCAGGAGCTTTCATTTTTTAAATTGCTTTACTTCTTACTATTTAGTCTCATTTTATTTTTTTTTCTGTTAATTCAGGTGGTTGCAGCTGATACTGATAAACTTTTGTGTAGATATTTGTGTTATACCAGTAATAAAGTTCTATAACTGAATCTTGCTATATCCACAAAGTTCATATAAGAAATACAAAAAAAGGAACACACATTCAAGCTTGCTTCTGTTCTATTAAGTTGATTAAGGTTAGGGGCATTTATGTAATTTTATACTGCTACTATTGTTACTTGAAAAATAAGTCTTATGTATCCTTTGGTTATATTTACTTGCAGCTACTGCTGCGATCCAAGTTGATAGCCTCCAACCCCTACAACTCCAACACCCGCAACGCGGGATTCTTCCCTAGTTTATTATAAAACGTTGTAAGTATTTTAAATAAATGATAAGCATTAGCAAACATGTGTGTACGAAATTACTTTCGTAATGGATTTATGAGTATCAAATAATAGATCTCATATTATTTTATTTAAAGTCGCATCATTTCAATAGTCGTTGCCCGTGAAAATAAAATTAAACTCAATTTAGATAGACATATTTTATGTGATATTATTTCAATGAAATATATCTATAGGTTGTGTGTGAATTTGAAATTATGATGTAGGTTTTATATTTAACATTTTATTTATACCTTTATTATTTTTAATGAATTTTAAAACTATATTTTGATACATGTTTTATATTGAATATTATATTTAAACTTTTAATATTTTAAATTTATTTTAAACTATCTATTTTCAGAAAAAAAAAATATTATTATAAAAAGAAAAATTTAATAAACTTTTTTTTTTTGTTAATTTGATATTTTATTTGGATCTTATATTTAAACTTTTTAACTATTTAGAAAAATAGGTTTTGAATATATTATAAAAATTATGTTTTGAATTTAACTTTATATTTAGATTAACAAACTAACTATATTATAGTGAAAATAAAGAATTAATATTGAAATTACAATAATATTGGATTTAATGTATTAATTTAAAAATAAGTTAAAAAGTTGGGAGTTTCAAATGAATATAGTTGAATAAAAAATGCATTTATTATAAGTATAGTAGATGAATATATGCGTGTTGCGCTGAATATTGTATACTATAGTTTATATATGTTATTAAAAATAGTTATGTCGATATTATTGACTTTGAAATAATATTTTTTTTTTACATTGTAATTACTTTAAATATAGAATAAGATAAATATATATTTAAACTAACTCATCTCAAGAGCGTTTATTCTTGGATAGTATATAAAATTTCATTAACTTTTGATTTATTTTATTATTTACTATTAATCAATTTGTATAGCTATCTTTTAGAATTGTATTATATTAATGATAAATATCCAAACATGCTTTTGTTATCTAATAATAGTAGTTTGATCTATCATTTTTTCCTCATAAAATATATCAATAAATATTTTCTTCCGTTCACCTACATAAATAAAAATTGACAATCTATATGTAAAATCAGTTAACTTTGAAAAAAATATATTTAATTACATATTTACATAGAGACAAATTTCAGTAATGAAATCATTTTACCTACAGAATATCGCACCACTAAGTATACTTCATGTCATTTAGGCATGATAGTAATGTGGATAAGTCAGATTCTAGGTTATCGGTTTGATGTTTGTCACTTAACCGAACCGTATTACTTCAGTTAATCCACTTTTTGGTTATTCGGTTCCAGTTTGAACAAATTCGATCTCGTTACTCGAATAACACACTAAATTTAAATTGTTGCATTCGTCTTCTCTTACTCACGTAATCTCATCAACTTGTTTAATATCATCTTGGTTATTATATTTTGGCAGCCATTAACATGGTCAAGATTTGCAGTCACGTACATCGAATCATGTGAATATATCATATATCATATATTAATATATAGAGATATACTATATAGGGTGAAGCGTATGTAAATACTTATTTGAGTAAAAATATTAAACCACCCAAGTCACGTGTTTTAATGAATTAATTAATACAGTACTATAACTTTTTTAATTAAAAGTAATTATATAAAACAATCATCACATTTTAAACCTATAACATATTTATTCACGTGAAAAAAATTAAGTACACGTGCTTAATAAAAAATGCTCTTAGAATGACCAATCCTATCATTCTACTCAATTGGAAGAAATAATAATTAGAATCCTAATTAGTATCTAAACATAAAAAAAATCTTTTATGTAGAGGAATATATTGTTGAAATGTATTACCATTCTTGATTTTGGTTTCACTAGAGATGTGAGAAACAACCCATGAAAACACACAAATAGAATACAAAAACTTCATCAAAAGTGAAAAAAAAAATTAATAATAAGAATAAAAAGACTACATATATTAAATTAATAACAAAATATATTACAAAAGAATCCAAAAGTTTTAGCGGCAATATATCCATTGGTATTCTGTGGAGGGAAATGAAATTATGCATAGACATAGGTAAAGAGATATTATGATGAAACATTGAGAATGTAATGACCATGAAATACCATTAAGTATATATAAGTTAAAAAACAAACATGATTTAATCAATTTGTTTCATAAAATACCAATAAGTATATATAAATTACAAAACTTTTAAATGGTTGTTATTAATTATGTGGAAAATGAAAATTTTGGAGGTTTCAAATACATATGGTGCAAGAAAAAAATGTCTTATAAGTATATATATATATATATATATATATATATATATATATATATATATAAGTTAAAGAAAAATAAAAATAAAGAACTATTATGCATAGGTTTGATCGATCTGAAAAGAAAAAGACACACACACAAATCATGTGTGGCTATCGATCGTAAATAGAGAGGGAAAACAAGATACGTCAAACGAGGACTCGATATTTAAGGTTCATAAAGGGGACGAGAAGGGCTAGAAAGAGAGTGTGTAATAGAAGGTGAGCTCGAAGAGTGAGATGGGTGGAACAACATTAGTACGACTTGTAAAGGAGTATTTTCGTTGGCATCAACTGGCGAAGGTCGCAGTGGTAAGGTTCTGACCACCGATGATCATCTCGAACTACCCTTCTACTTGGTTTCTTGAATAGAAACAGAGGTACAAGTCAATTAATTCTATGATTTAAGACGTTTGGTTATTGAGGTCGTTGTGCCTCCGGTATTATGGTTAAATTGGAACTGGAGCTTTGGAATTCTTGTTGATTTAGAGTATGGAGGATTAAAAACCTAAAATTAGAGGTATGGTTTGTTAGTTCCATGAATCGGTTATTGGTGAAACTAGGGTGTTAAATGGTGTTGATATGTTGTTGGAATGTTAATAGTTGATTATCCTTGTTGTAGTTAATAGTCAATATAACTTTAATATCCATAATAAAGTTGGAACTAATGGTAATTCTATTAGTTGTTATTTTTATGTAACTACAAAGTATGGCCAAAATTATGAAAGATTGACAAGATGTTGTCACGTTTCCTATAATTTGAAACATAATCGTAATTATGTTTTAATGGCATAATGTGTAAACTGATGGAATATGGCTAAATCATATATAAGTAAAAACCTCAAGTTTTCCTGGAAGGATGGGAATTGACACATTAAACAAACATTATGTGTTTTATGACTTGTATGAAATATGAAAGTTAGTTATCTAAATGAAAATATATTGCCTAAATTGAAAATAAAATATTAAAATGTAAAAATTTGGAAATCTAAGTAGTGGCATGAGTCTAGAACCGTATCAAACAAAGTGCGTAAAGTGAATTATAAACACATGTAAATGCCTTACAGGAAATATGTTGCTATTATTGGAATATTTGATAACAATGTTTGTTGAAATTTAAAGCATACACGAATGGATGAGGTTTTAGGCTTGGAGGTGTCGAGGGGAGCGTAGGGCATCCCACCACCTTTTCGTGAATATAAAGTTCATCGGAAACGGACTTAGAATGAAGGATTTATGACTCTTTGAAGTTATTGGCGAAAATGGACCCTAATGGAAATAAATGACAAGGAAGGACCATGCATGCAAAGTGGAAGGCGCGTGGGTACGCCCAGCGTAAGCTGGGTTACGCCCTGCGTAAAAAAGGAAATGGTCGCGGGTGTTGTTGGCGTACGCCCAGCGTACATGATGTACGTCCAAAAACCCTAATTTTAGGGCCAACCTCTATATAAAGAACTTAATGGCTAAAACCCTAGCCTCCTTATCTGTCCCCCAACCTCAGAGACAACCTAGAACGCCTCATCCCCTTATTCTTGTGTGGTTTTAAACTTAAGAAACTCATTTTGGTGGTGTAAGCTTGGAAGAGGAAAAGAAGAAGTTGGCAAGGAAGAACTTGGGAAGTTGGAGCTCATAGATCTGGGATAGCATCATCCTTTGGGACTCTTTGGAGGTATAAAGTTCATAACTTTACCTAAGAATGCTTAGATCTAGTGTAGTTTGGTTTTGGAGTCATTTTGGTCCCAAGAATGGACCTTTATGGTGAAATCTCGTTTGTGAGCTTAGGGTTGCCACCCTCAGAGCTAAAAGGGTCCCATAAGCAGTAAAGTCTCCATCTTGAATGTCTTAATGGGTTCATGCATGAGATCTAGCCCTTTTCATGGAAGTAGAACATTATTTTTGGAGTTTGGGCCAAGTAAAGTCACCAAGTCAGTGACTTTATGGATTAAGACGTGGAAAAGGACCAGGATCTGTGATTGTAGCTTCTGAAATGAAGTATTAAGCACTTAATGAGAAATGGACTTAACAGGAGGTTTACGCTGAGCGTACGTGAAGGTACGCCCAGCGTACGCACCACTCAGTCAGTACGCTTAGCGTACGTGGATGTACGCCCCGCGTACTCTGTCAGTTGGGCCTTGTGCTTTTGGGTCACGGTTTGGGCCATGCTTTGGGTCTTTGGGCCTTAGTAGGCCATCAGAAGTCAGATAATTTAGGCCAAGAATATGTTTGGGCTTAAAGTAAGGCCCATTAGAGGGATTGGGCCCAATTGAGCAAATTGGGCCATTAGTGGGCCACTAGTGGGCTTGGAAAGCCTACCTAGTGTTGGGTTTTGTTTTGAGATTTGGGCCTTAGTTTTGGATCATACTGGGCCAGGGGTTAAATGGTCATTTTACCCCCATGCATGGTTTAAGGATTATGGTATGGGGCCCAGTTGCTAATTGGGTATATTGATCGGTATTGATGGATCAGGAAGTGGGCGGGGTAGCAGCTAAGGATTTCTTCAGGAAGCTTCTACATTCGAGGTGAGTTTTATCACCATACCAATGGGTCTAAGGCACCAAGGCCGGCCCATTTTACGATAGTTGGTATAATTGTTGTGTAGAGGTGCGTGGCTTTGTTATGCATTGATATGTGGTAGAGATAGCTTTTACAGCTAGTGGTAGAGATAGCCTTCAGGGCTAATGGTAGAGATAGCCTTCAGGGCTAGTGGTAGAGATAGCCTTTAGGGCTAATGGTAGAGATAGCCTTTATGGCTAAGGGTAGAGATAGCCTTTGTGGCTGATGGTCGAGA